AATGTTATAAGCTAGTGAATACATTGTTTGATATTGGTAAAGTTTTTAACACAGGTAAAATGTTTTGTAAAGTAATTATCAGTAAGATTAAAAATGCTTTCTGGATTGATGTTTTAAAGGCTTATATGATGTTTATTGAAAAACTTTCTATAGATAATATAGAGCAAGTATTACATATGCCACTTTTTTACAATCATAATTTTTTATCTGGGAACAGATATATTTTCATTCAGATATTGTATGATAAAGGCATCAGATTTGTGAAAGATATTATTAATGAACAGGGTAATTTTGTAGATTTGAATTATTTAGAACAGGTAAAATGTAAACAAGTGAATTTTTTACAATATCATAGTTTAAAACAGGCAATTAAATTTTATATGCAAACGCTAAATATGATGATTTGTAATAACTTGTTTAATGTTCAATACCCTATTATAAGTTGTTATATAAAACCTATTTTGTTCATGAATAGTAATAAGAAATATGTATATGAAACTTTAGTTAAGAATTCAGATTTACCAACAAGTCAAGAAAAGTGGAACACATGCTTTATAGGTGATCACATTAACTGGCATTTAATTTATAGTTATGTTTTCCATTGTACAAAAGATTCATACATTCAGTGGTTCCAAACAAGAATTATTCATAGAATTATTGCTACAAATTCACTTCTGTTTAAAATGAAAATTGTGAACAATAAAATGTGTACTTTTTGTAATTGTTATGAAGAAACACTTTTGCATTTGTTTTGGGAATGTCACAAGATTCAAGGCCTTTTTCAATATCTGAAAGATAACTTAAATAATTTTGAAGAATGTTTCAACTGTAAATCAGTTATTTTAGGTTCAGAATCTAAAGATTTTAAATATGACATTTTGTTTTTAGAACTAAAAAGATATATTTATTTGTCAAAGAGAAAAAAGGTGCTACCCACATGTATTGGTTTTAAAAATAGTCTTAAATTAGCATGGAATATTTATAAAGATACAAACTTGACAGAAGATGAAAATAATAGATGGCAATTAGTAAGATCTTTAATTGAATAAACTACACTGACATACTGAATTAGATAAATAAATTTAACCTGATAATACCATTCTTAATTAATGTTCTTACATTGTACATATGGTTTTATTATAATGTACTTACTCGAAGGGTATAAAGCTATGTGTGTTGAAATATCTTTATTAAAATGTATAAAATTATACCGATTTCCTCCCATACATACACATCTGTAGTATATTGACAAAAATTCATGGTAACTTATACCTCTTCATATATATATACATATTATATATATATATTTTTTTTTTTTTCAATAACAGGCAGCAAAAATATAGCTTTATACTCAAATTTAGTAATTATTTTAATATTCTGATGTAATGAGGTACTATTATATCTATAAATATGTACTATTATATGTATAAATGTAAAAGAATTTGAAATAAATGGGGTTACCCAGTTGGGGCCTGAAAAAAAAAAAAAAAAAAAAAAAAAAAAGTTACCTCAAACGCATATTTGTGTCTTATTTACAATATCCCCTGTATGTTTTGTTTGTTTCACAATATTCGCTAAACGTTCTGTTTGATTTACTAGTTCTCCTATATGTCCTGTTTGATTTACTATTTCCCCTATATGTCCAGTTTGATTTACAATATCCCATATACGTATGTTATCACCATTACATTTAAGATAGTAATATTCATCATTGAAACTGATGTAAATTGATAGAATTTGGATAATTATTATAAATTAAAGAACTTTTCATTGCATTTAAAAGTTAGAGTCAGAAACTGTTGAACCTAAAAAAAAATATTAAAAAATGTTGTGTTGATGTAAATCAAATGCAACTAGTACTTCATTAAATATCATCAATACACATTTGTTTATTTTCCATGCCATATACATGTATATTTTATATGCATGTACATATTAAGGTGTACATGTATATTTTGTGAAATAAAATTAGAAAAAAAATCCAATGATATAACTCGATTTGATGATCACTTCTCCCTAAATTTCAAAAACTCTATTAGATTTATTAATTTTACAATTTTATGATCAATATAAACTTTGTAGAGAATTAAATTTCCTACAAAATGATACTACTTTTTGACATGTGGGATATTTCTCACAACCTAAAATAGGAGGTTAAAAGGAAGGCAACATAATTTTTTTTTAAACTTTACATTACAAATATTTTTTTCATGCTCTGAATCAAACAAGTGAATAATAAAATATGCAAAAACTTAACAAAATACAATGACCTAGAAAATTATGTAATTAATGCGCGAGATATTCTAGAATTGATGAGTCACGAAAAACTTTTAATCTGTTAATAAAAATGTTTTATTTAATGGAGAAATATTTATTTTCTTCTTATAATTTCTAGGAATTATTGAGCTTCCACCTTAATTTTAGCATAATTTGCTGTCCTACTTTTTCGACAGCGGTAAATCGTTTCAGCAGTTATTTTCATATTGCGCAATAATACTACAGGGGCTACAGTGTTTTTATCAATCAAATACGTTCATATTTTAACTTGGATAACTTAATTTGAAAATGAAAAGGCTAAATATGGAAGTTTTTAAGATATCCCGACAAAGTATGGGAGTTTTATAGGATCAAATTCATGTACTATTTCTTGGGCTGTTATTCGGTTGAGGACAATTGCGCGATTGTAGCCTATGAAATCCCATGTGTAGATGACATAGCTCTGAAGGCGCATCTGTCACAAAAATTGTCTTTGTCTCTGTGCTTCAATCGTCTGTCTGTCCGTAAACTTTTACTTTAAACGACATTTCCTCATAAACTGCTAAGCCAATTTCATCCAAACTTTACAGGAATGTTCCTTTGGTAGTCAACTTAAAAAATTGTTAAAAGAATTAAATTCCATGCTGAACTCTGGTTGCCGTGGCAAATGAAAGAAACAACTTAAAAAATCTTCTTTTAAAAAACTGAAAGGGCTAGAGCTTAAATATTTTGCATGAAACATTGTCTGGTCAGTGTCCCGCCCCAGGGTGTCATTTTTTTTTCCTTGACAAATATTTAGGGATATTAAGATGAAAATTAAACTTTAATCAAACAAAAATATAGAGCCTGGTCAGACTCACTGCCCGGCACAGATGAGCCGACTGGCCTGGCTCTATACTGATGGCAATGCCTTATGAGTTGTTATTTTCCAGCAAGTTAAAGCTTTAAGCCCTCAATAATAGTGTATTTGCAACAGTCATAATCTCTTAATCCAATTGTACCTGTCTATTGGTGACTGGTAAAGGTGGTCAATTTTAATTGACTGATAATTGAGGGTAAGGATCACAGCACAAAGTAAAGCCCCTAAATAGACAGTCACATGATCTTAATTTTCACACACTCACAAGATAACAGTTAATGCCCAGTTGTTTTCATGTACATATAGTGGAAAGGAGAATTGACCAACAGCATTTTGAATTTAGTTTTTTTTTTGCAAATGCTTTACATGTAAGTAGCCTATTTATTCATAGGGAAACATAAGAATGTTAATTTAAACTGTTAATTTACTTTCTTGTATGGTCATGTAAACAACTTTATTGTCAATTTTAGGTATACCTGTAATGATAAATTTCAATTAAGTTGCAACTTGCAATTAAATTTGTAAACACATTCACATTATACATGTAATGTGTAAACATTAATAGCAAAATGGTTTTTGTGTCGCCTCTATGGAGTAGTGGCGACATATAGGGATCACTTCTCCGTCGTCTGTCTGTCCGTCTGTCTGTCTGTCCGTCCGTCTGTCCGTCCGTCCGTCACAAAACTTGTCCGGACTACTCCTCATAAACTACTGGTACAATTTCATCCAAACTTTACAGGAATGATCAGTACCAAGTCTAGTTGTGCATATTGTCAGGATTTTCCGGTTCAATGATTTTTGTCAGAGTTATGGCCCTTTAATAATTTTTAATTTTAAAGTTTGTCCGGACTACTTCTCTTATACCACTAATGCAATTTCAATGAAACTTTACAGGATTGATCTGTAGCTCAACTCCTTGCGCATATTGCACGGGTTTTCCGGTTGAATGATTTTTGGCCGAGTTATGGCCCTTTGATAAAAAGGTTTCTTTTTCTGTGTGTTGCCAGATACACAAAAGCTTGTCCGGACTACTCCTCATAAACTACTGGTGCAATTTCATCCAAACTTTACAGGAATGATCAGTACCAAGTCTAGTTGTGCATATTGTCAGGATTTTCCGGTTCAATGATTTTTGTCAGAGTTATGGCCCTTTAATAATTTTTAATTTTAAAGTTTGTCCGGACTACTTCTCTTATACCACTAATGCAATTTAAATGAAACTTTACAGGATTGATCTGTAGCTCAAGTCCTTGCGCATATTGCACGGGTTTTCCGGTTGAATGATTTTTGGCCGAGTTATGGCCCTTTGATAAAAAGGTTTCTTTTTGTGTGTGTTGCCAGATACACAAAAGCTTGTCCGGACTACTCCTCATAAACTACTGGTGTAATTTCATCCAAACTTTACAGGAATGATCAGTACCAAGTCTAGTTGTGCATATTGTCAGCATTTTCCGGTTCAATGATTTTTGTTTGAGTTATGGCCCTTTAATAATTTTTATTTTTAAAGTTTGTTCAGACTACTTCTCTTATACCACTTATGCAATTTCAATGAAACTTTACAGGATTGATCTGTAGCTGAAGTCATTGCGCATATTGCACGGGTTTTCCGGTTGAATGATTTTTGGCTGAGTTATGGCCCTTTGATAAAAAGGTGTTTTTTTCTGTGTGTTGCCAGATACGCAAAAGCTTGTCCGGACTACTCCTCATAAACTACTGGTGCAATTTTATCCAAACTTTACAGGGATGATCAGTACAAAGTTGTTAGTCTAGTTGTGCACTGTCCGTCTGTCTGTCCGTCTGTCACAAAATTTGTCCCAACATGAAATTGGCCATCATGAGGCGACACATGTGATTACTGATCGCTCTTGTGTTTTATTATTTTCAGGTAGGTTACCAAGTGGCTACAGAAGACAATTAATTGAGAGAGCCAATGGTATAATAACCAAGAATATCCTGCAAGTTGGACATGAGGCAAAACAGAAATACTTGATGTATAATTCAGAGACTTTTAGTTGATGAACTGGTGAGTTTTAGAGTTTACTGCTTGTGATTCTCTTTAATATTTAACAAACTTTTTGTGCACCCTCTTTGGGGGGGGGGGGGGGGGTAGGATTTGATTTACCCTTGTCTGTCTGTCGATCCATTCTCATTTTGTGTCGAACATAGCTCAAAAGTATTTGACCTAGAGTCATGAAACCATACAGGAATATTGCTCAGCATGTGAAGTTGTGCATCTGGGTATTTTCGAGTGGATATATCTAGTATTTTTAGAGTTATTACCCTTGACTTAGTAAAAATTTGCAATTTTCATCTTTTGTGGCACGTAACTCAAAAAGTATGTGACCTAGAGTCATGAATACTTACAGGAATATTGCTCAGCATGTGAAGTTGTGCACATTTGTTTTGTTGTCAAGTTATTGCCGTTGATTTAGTAAAAATTTGCAATTTTCAATCTGTGTCGCATGTAGCTCAAAAAGTATTTTACCTAGGGTCATAAAACTTGACAGGAATGTTGATCAGCATGTGTAGTTGTGTACCTGGAGTTTTGCTTGTGGATTTATTCTGTTTTGTAAGAGTTATTGCCCTTGACTTAGTAAAAATTTGCAATTTTCAACTTGTGTCAAATGTAGCTTAAAAAGTATTTTACCTAGGATCATGAAACTTTACAGGAATATTGCTCAGCATGTGAAGTTGTGCACCATTGGTTTTGCTTGTGGATTTATTCTGTTTTGTCAGAGTTATTGCCCATGACCTAGTAAATATTTGCAAGTTTGAACTTGTTCATGCATAGCTCAAAAGGTATTTAACCTGCAGGCCTGAAAGTTTACAAGAATGTAGGTCAACATGTGCACTTATGCAGCTTGGGGTTCGCTTGTGGAATTATCCAGCATTTGTAGAGTTATTAGGATCGTTGAATGTCCATCGTCCGTTCACACTTGTTTGTTAACACTCTAGCAGTCACATTTTTGCCTCAATAATTATCAAACTTGGCCAGGATGCTTATCTAGTTGAAAGCTGGGATGAGTTCGAACATGGGTCATCTCGGATGAAAAACTAGGTCACAGGAGCTAAAAAAAGAAAAACCTTGTTAACACTCTAGTGGTCACATTTTTGCCTCAATCATCATCAAACTTGGTCAGGATGCTTGTCTAGGTGACAGCTTGAAATATATGTTTGAACATGGGTCATCTCGGATGAAAAACTAGGTCACCGGAGCTAAAAATAGAAAAACCTTGTTAACACTCTAGTGGTCACATTTTTGCCTCAATCATCATCAAACTTTGTCAGGATGCTTATCTAGTAGATAGCTTGGATGAGTTCGAACATGGGTCAACACCGGTGAAAAACTAGGTCACTGGAGCTAAAAATAGAAAAACCTTGTTAATACTCTAGCGGTCACATTTTTGCCTCAATCATAATCAAACTTGGTCAGGATGCTTGTCTAGGTGATAGCTTGAATATGTTCGAACATAGGTCATCTTGGATGAAAAACTAGGTTACAGGAGCTAAAAATAGAAATACCTTGTTAACACTCTAGCGGTCACATTTTTGCCTCAAAATTGCAATTTTCAACTTGTGTCGCATGTAACTCAAAAAGTATTTGACCTAGAGTCATGAAACTTTACAGGAATGTTGATCAGCATGTGTAGTTGTGCACCTGGGTATTTTTGTGTGGATTTATTTAGTATTTTTACAGTTATTGCCCTTGACTTAGAAATTTTTTGCAATTTTCAACTTGTGTCGCATGTAACTCAAAAAGTATTTGAGCTAGAGTCATGACACTTTACAGGAATGTTGATCAGCATGTGTAGTTGTGCACTTGGGTATTTTTGTGCAGATTTATATAATGTTTTTAGAGTTATTGCCCTTGACTGAGTACAATTTTGCAATTTTCAACTTGTGTCGCATGTAACTCAAAAAGGATTTGACCTAGAGTCATGAAACTTTACAGGAATGTTGATCAGCATGTGTAGTTGTGCATCTGGGTATTTTCGTGTGGATTTATTTAGTATTTTTAGAGTAATTGCCCTTGACTTAGAAAATTTTAGCAATTTTCAACTTGTGTCGCATGTAACTCAAAAAGGATTTGACATAGAGTCATTAAACCTTAGGGGTTTGCTTGTGGATTTATTCAGTATTTGTAAAGTTCTTGCCCTTAACTTAGTAAAAGATTTTTAGTTTTCAACTTGTGGCACATGTAGTCCAAAAATATTTGACCTAGAGTCATAAGATTGACAGAACAGTGGCGTGTGGGGGCACCCGTGTCCTATGGACACATTTCTAGTGTTGCATGTATCTCAAAGAGTATTTGACCTAGTTTCATCAAACTTTACAGGAATGTTGATCAGCATGTGTAGTTGTGCACCTGGGTATTTTCACCTGGATTTATTTAGTATTTTTAGAGTTATTGCCCTTGACTTAGTAAAATTTTGCAATTTTCAACTTGTGTCGCATGTAACTCAAAAAAGGATTTGACCTAGAGTCATGAAACTTTACAGGAATGTTGATCCGCATGTGTAGTTGTGCACCTGGGTATTTTCGTCTGGATTTATTTAGTATTTTCAGAGTTATTGCCCTTGACTTAGAAATTTTTTGCAATTTTCAACTTGTGTCGCATGTAACTCAAAAAGGATTTGACATAGAGTCATTAAACCTAACGGGAAGGTTGCTCAGCATATGTAGATGTGCACCTGGGGTTTCACTTGTGGATTTATCCAGTATTTGTAGAGTTATTTCCCTTGACTTAGTAATGTTATTATGTTGTTATTTGTTCCTTGTGTGCTCCAGTTAGAATCAACCAACTCTACAGGAATAATGATCAGCATCACTAAATTACAGGAATAATGATTCACATCACTGTGAAGCTATGTACCTGGGACTTTGCATGTGGATTTTTAGCTCACCTGTCACAAAGTGACAGGGTGAGCTTTTGTGATGGCTTTTCGTCCGGCGTCCGTCCGGCGTCCGTAAACTTTACTTTAAATGAGATCTCCTCATAAACCACTAAACCAATTTCATCCAAACTTCACAGGAATGTTCCTTTGGTGGTCACCTTTGAAAATTGTTCAAAGAATTTAATTCCATGCAGAACTCTGGTTGCCATGGCAACCAAAAGAAAAAAATTAATATATCTTCTTCTAACAAACCGAAAAAGCTATAGCTTAGATATTTGGCATGAAACATCTTCTAGTGAGTGTCTACCAAGTTTGTTCAAATAAAAGCCTTAGGGTCAAAATTGGCCCCGCCTCAGGGAGTCATTGATTTTCCCTATAAGCCTATAGTAAAAACTTAAAAATTCTTCTTTTAAAGAACCCAAAGAGCTAGAGCTAAGATATTTAGCATGAAACATGTTCTAATGGATGTCTACCAAGTTTGTTCAAATAAGAGCCCTGGGGTCAAAATTGGCCCCGCCCCGAGGGTCATTGATTTTCCTTATATGTGTATAACAAAAAAATCTTCTTTGAAAAAAACCAAATAGCTAGAGTTTAGATACTAAGCATGAAACATCTTCTAGTGAGTGTCTAACAAGTTTGTTCAAATTAAAGCCCTGGGGTCAAAATTGGCCCCGCCCCGGGGGACATTAATTTTCCTTAAATGTGTATAACAAAAACTTAAAAAATCTTCTTTGAAAATTTATCTCAAATAGCTAGAGTTTATATATTAAGCACGAAGCATCTTCTAGTGAGTGTCTACAAAGTTTGTTCAAATAAAAGCCCTGGGGTCAAAATTGGCCCGCCCCAGGGGACATTGATTTTCCTTATATGTGTATAGCAAAAACTTAAAAAATCTTCTTTGAAAAAAACCAAATAGCTAGAGTTTAGATACTAAGCATGAAACATCTTCTAGTGAGTGTCTAACAAGTTTGTTCAAATTAAAGCCCTGGGGTCAAAATTGGCCCCATCCTGGGGGACATTAATTTTCCTTAAATGTGTATAACAAAAACTTAAAAATCTTCTTTGAAAAAACCCAAATAGCTAGAGTTTAGATATAAAGCATGAAACATCTTCTAGTAAGTGTCTATAAAAGTTTGTTCAAATAAAGGCCCTGGGGTCAAAATTGGCCCCACCCCGGGGGTCATTGATTTTCCTTATATGTGTATAGCAAAAACTTAAAAATCTTCTTCGAAAAATCCAAATAGCTAGTGTTCAGATATTAAGCATGAAACATTTTCTAGTAAGTGTCTACAAAGATTGTTCAAATAAAAGCCCTTGGGTCCAAACTGGCCCTGCCCCAGGTGTGTCATTGTTTTTAACTAAATGCGTAAAGAAAAAACTTGACCAGCTAGACCTTAGATGTTTAGCATGAAACATCTTCTAATGGGTGACTACCAAGTTTGTTCAAATAAAAGCCCTGGGGTTTAAACTGGCCGCTACGGGGGCCTATATACAGGTGAGCGACTTCAGGGCCATCATGGCCCTCTTGTATTCAGTTTTGTTAGAGTTATTGCCCTTGACTTACAGTAGTATAAATTTGCAATTTTCAACTTGTTCATGCATAGCTCAAAAAGTATTTCACTTGTAGGCCTGAAAGTTTACAAGAATGTTGGTCAGCACACCTTGAGGTTTGATGTGGATTTATTCAGTATTTGTAAAGTTCTTGCCCTTTACTTTGTAAAAGATTTTTAGTTTTCAAAAAATATTTGACCTAGAGTCATAAGATTGACAGAACAGTGGCGGAGTGGGGGCACCTGTGTCCTATGGACACATTTCTAGTTTGAATAACAATAGATTTAACCACTAATCTTATAATAAGAATTAGATAGGTCAGTGATCTATGCATTATGGCAGTCTTCATTTGTATAGAAACAAAAAAATCTGTTCCTACATTACTATTTCAATCTTGTTTTATTTTCAGGTGGGTTACAAAGTGGCAATGTAAGACAATTAGAGAAGAGACTCACAGAACCAAGAATATCTTGAAAGTTGGACATGAAGCCAGACAGAAATTCCGAGACTTTGTCCAGTTGATAAACTGGTAAGTGAAGTTTAGAGTTTACTGATTGTTATTTTCTTTAATGTTCATGAAATTTACATTTGAATTTGAAATTTTAATGTGTCAAGAAGTTAATAGTGTGATTTTGTGTGACTTCAAATGGAGCCTGCCTTTGCAGATACTGGCTGCAAGGCCAAGTGGTTAACATGTCAGACTAGTAAGCTAGCCTCATGGGTTCAAACCCCGGCAAGTTGTTGTTTCCTTGAACAAGAAACTTTACACTCATTGCTCAGTACTAGTTGGTTCCTGGAATGAATTCGAAAGTGTGTCTATAAGCTTTAAATTAAGCTTCCTATGCAATCAAACTAAAATAAATTCTGTATATAAAATAAACCAGAATTATGATTTTGTTACAATAATTTTGCAAACCCTGTAATAATATGTGTTAATATTTCTACATAATTTGATGCATCCTGTTGACTTGGTTGTTAAAAATTCTGCAAGATATCTCTTGCTATTGAATTCTCCTGGGGACTTTGAATTATTCTGTGTGATTCTTAAAGGGTATAAATCTATATCTTATGAATTTTCTAATAGAATTTATCAACTGTAAAATTATATTGGTTCCATTGTTATATGGTTGATTTCAGAAAAAGTTGTAACATAGAATGTGTCTGTTATTTAATACACATGAATAATGTACATAAACAAAATAAAATGTTCTTGTACATTAAAATATTATTTTGCTATTTTAAGAAGGGTTTTATCAGTTAAGCAATGATTTTGTGCATACACCATTCGCTTTTAAGGCTATCTATTTCATACAAGCATTTGAAGGTATACTTTTTTAAAATTCAAATAATTATTTTTCTATCATACACTTAAAAACTTGTTGTCTGCAAAAAATGTAGGTACAGTCAGGAGTAAAGATAAGGTACTGAGTTTGGTGAACTTGAAAAAGATGTTTCATCATACAGTGTAGAATGGCCCTTTGTAGTGCAATAACTTCTTGAAAGACCTTTTTGGAAGTTTTCATATAGACATACATTGTATAGGCAAAATTAACACTGTTCAATAGATTTTATTAAAATTTGGCATGTTGTTACAATATGATAATGGAAACATTTTAAGAAAATTTTATGAAAAAAAGGGGGCGGGGTCACCATCCTCGTTGTTGAATTATCTGCTCCTGAATTGGACTTTAATGCTTAAATCAAGGGCAGATAATTCACAATAAAGGTAAATAATACCTAATTTTTTGCTTATTTTATATAGTTTACTTCCTTTTGAGTCAATGTGCAAAATTTCAGTTAAGGATAAAGAGTAAGTAGATTGGCTTTTTTTCCCCTTCTTTTCTAAACCTGTGACTTTTTTCTTAAAAAATTGCCTATTTCTTTGAAGAATTTTAAGTCCCTTTATTCAAACTGAAAAAAATAACAGAAATAAGATGGAATTACCTGTAATTATGTATTGTAATAACAATAAAAAGAAAAACATCCAGAAGTATAAACAAGATTATATAGACATATGTTTAAGTTACCTGCCTTTAAAATGACCTCAGATAAGTTAAAAGATTCTGATTCAAGGGCAGATAACTTAGAAATGACCTTTAAATTTGTTTCGACCGCTTCCATGGTCGAGGGGTTAGTTTCGATGACTTCTTATCCAGTTACCTCTCTGGCATGGGTTCGATCCCCTGGAGATGCTTTGGTAGTTTAGCACGGAGGAAGGTTAGTCTAGTACTGGTGTAACTCTCCAGGAATTATGGTTAGGAAACTACCTGCCTATATGACTGATATACTGTTGGGAAAAGGCAAAAATGAAACAAACAAAGAAACAAACAAACAAATTTGTTTCCCTTTGACACAAAAGTTTCATTACAAGGTTATTTTCCTTAACTTTTCTATAGATTTGGTTGAAGTTGATATTACGGTTCATCATCCCTAGCTTTAAATGACTGGTGGAATCCCCTCTAATTTCCTGTTTATGTACATATCTCTAACATTTAGGTTGACTTTATGCCATTTTCTGTACATGTCCATGTCTATTAACATTTATACTGTACCATTTCCTGTACCTACACACATCAGTTTATACCTTTTCTTCAGTAATTGTACACACCCATAACATTTAGTTCCTGTACTGTACACATATTTAGTAGCATTTAGGTTAGTTTCATGCCATTTCCATTGCCTGCTTATTTCTTTCATATTAAGGTTAACTTAAAGCCATTTCCTGTCGCTCTTTACATATAGGTTGACAAAATTATTTTCCTGTTCACATCTGTTACATTAAGATTGACTTATGTCATTTCCTATACCAATACATATCTATAACATTTAGATCCACATCCTGCCATTTCCTGTTCCTGAATCAGTACATATCTCTCAACATTTAGGTTGACCTCCTGCCACTTTCGGCACATGTACATATCTCCAGGGATAAAAACAGACCATTTAACCTTGGTGGCCACCTGGACCACTGACTGTAAAATTTTCATGGCCCAATAATAATAATATCTGTCACATGTTGCGGTTCGGACCGGAATATCCGTCCCGAGGGGACCCGCCCATGGGCGGGTTCCCGAGGGACGGATATTCCGATCCGAACCGCAGACATATGAAAGATATTTTTTCTTGCATATTCTGCCATATTATTTCATATTTAAAATGGTTTACCTCAATATGATATATGTTCATGGAAATTAAAGTCATTTCATCCATAACTATTTTCTTGCATTAGCGTATGAACTTACAACTTAAATAACAACGGCGAAATGACGTCATCCTAAGACATATTTCCCTTCTAAAACGACGTCATTTTAACGCGATTCATTCATAAATGGCGCTAAAATGACGTTGTTGTTTGGCACTCGACTCATCTGGCACCCCTCATGCCAGATGAAATTTCCGGCATGGGTAAAACTCACGGAAACGCCAGTCTGCTATGCAAGAAATATATTAGTGGACCAACAATTTATGAAGGGAAACAGGGCTAGCACTGGTAAATGTTTTCTTTGAGCCAATTTTTTCTCAGCGAAAATTGCGTGCCTGTATATTATTTACAAATAAGACAAAATGGTATGGCATGAGATATTTGGTGTAAACATATTTTATTCAATATATATATAATTTTGTCCTGTCCCAAAGATGCATGAGGTATTTAGAAAAACATAAACTATATCCAACTTTATTGTGGTAGCTACATTTTTATCACATTTAGGTAAACCATGGGTAATGGGCACTATAAGGAACTGTGAAAATGACAACATAGGACAGTTATATGTCTTAAAGGTCACCTGTATGCAAAATTTAAATAAAATTTACCGTGTGGTTTATGAGTTATGGATATATTTCTGAACTAACACTTTGCTATTAGATTAGGGCTTTTTTCAGAAATGAGAAAACTTTAAATAATCTTTAATATCATCATTATGAAAAATGTTTGCCTATTGCTCTTTGTTAAGAAACAAATAATAACATTCAGATAACAAATTACATGAGCAAAATGATTGTTTTTAAACAAAATGTTTTGAATATGTATACAGAGCTACAGATAAGCTTTTGAGTTAATTGGGTATTTACCCCTGGACTCGACACACAATTGGGCAACACAGAAACTAAATTGGGTATCATTGAAAAATTTATTTATTTGTGTAGATTAACCTTAACCATAAGCTTTTCCGTAAAAAAATCAATATTTATATAACCAAGATTTGTCTTGAAGACTATCTGTATCTGAAATAATAAAGAAGAAACATGTTTGAAAGTAAAAAGAATGGAGAAAATAATATTGAAAATTCTAAACTGAACAAAATCACATGTACTATTCATTATAAGTGTACAGTAATCAGTATAAGTTACCTGAAGGCATTTTGTATGCTTCTTAACTGAATCTGTCTTTAATATTTCACAGTCATAAGCCATTTTTAGCTCAACTATTCGAAGAATATGGAGAGCTATTGCAGTCGCCCTGGCAAAGTTGGAACAAAATGCCAATTTTAAAAATATGCACAAACTAAAAAGTTGAACATGGCTTTTGTTGTTAAATTTATATGTATTCTTTTTAAATCAAACTGATATTTTTTTTCATTTAATTTTAAAAAACTATTATCATCACTGATTTGGTAAAGCAAATTATTGAACAACTACTGAAAATAAAAGCCATGTTTACTAGGAACATTTGCACATGGAAATAAACAGCAACATTTGCACATAAAAATAAACTTCAACATTTACAACATGCAATAAAGTAATAACATTTGCAACTCCTCAGATATATATTTCCTTCATTCATTAATGCAGGCAGCTGTGGCATGGACCCTGTAGTTAAGAGACTTGGTATATCCATAGTGGAAAATCTTCAGTGCCAGGGTTTTTTTCTTTATATACCTGTAAAAGGTACTGTTCCCAATTGAAATAAGACAAGAAAATTCCCAATTTCTAATGTCAAAATTCTCAAAATGACTGTTCAAAATTCCCACTAGGCCATGAGATTTCTCTTAAATCATTTTGAATCAAACATGTTTATATACCACTCAATAGTTCTACCTGGACACTGTGGAGGCTCTTTGCTGTCTTTATTCATTATGACTAATGTTATTTGTAGCTGAAAAGTTGTTTAATAAAAAAATCAAAATTTGAGTCAAAATAACGCATTTTTTCCCAATCAGCCTGGTACCGGCACCATTCCCAAAGTAGAGGAAAAAAACACTGAGTGCTCGCAGTGCCACTTCTCTATTTGCATGCCTGAGATGAACAAAGATCAACATACTGATCTGCATTATCAGCAAGCGGTGTAAAGATAGTTTCCATAGCATTTTGAAGCTGTTCGTCCTCTGTGGAGCCTTCCCTAGCGAAAATTTCATGATTGAAACATGTCTTAACATGTTTTAAACACGTTCTTACATGTTATTTCGAAATGTTTGAACATGTTTTGAACATGTTTTAAACATGTTTAAACATGCACGTGAAATGGCACCATGATCTAACAGGATCAGTCAACAATCATGATAAGTCATGTTTGATGATCAAAAAAGAGTAACATGGTCAATCACATTTTGACATGTTTTTGTTCTATCCAGCTATCATGCTTTAGACATGTTTGAAAACGTTCACAGAACATGTTTGAATATGTTTGATCATGTAACTACTACTTTACTGTCAAACACATCTAAACATGATTAAAAATGTCCCCAAAACATGATGGAACATGTTTAAACATTCACATTAAATGGCACCACGATCCAAACACATCTAAACATGTTTAAACATATACAAATCAAGATCCCATAACATGGTCGAACATGTTAATATATCCAAATCAAGGGGTCATTTAACATTTTCAAACATGTTCAAACATTTCCAAAAGAACAAAGCTGACATTGTTTTAAACCAGCACAGGTCAAAGGAACAGAGCTGACATTGTTTTACATCAGCACAGGTCAACAGACAAAGGCAATTACAAAAGTTCATCTCGAGTATGCTCAGATGAGGTAAAACTTAAATTACACCTTTTGAGATCAGAACCCTGGACACAATTCTTTTTTATTTCTTTTCTTTCAGCACAAAAGTAATTTTCATTATGAATACTTGATTAACATTGTCACTTGAAATACTTCTGCTTCACATTTTGTGTCTTAATGACCACTTCCTTGTCAGTGATATCAAAATGTTTCTGAACGAGCTTGCTGATTAAGTTAAATTTGGCAGGATCAAACTTGGTCTTTGTTGGCCTTTTTACCAGTTGCACTATGGTTTTGAATTTCTTCGATGGTGAAGAACATACCTCTCCAGGACATCCTCCAGATGATCAAATGTTGCAAACCTGCCAAAAGAAGCACCGACTTTGAATAATGTTTTCTGCTAATTCAGTTTTATTCACCTACATACCTTTTCTCCTGTTATTATTTAAAAAAATGTTTTAACTTCAAAATATCGGATTGCGACAACATGTGACAATTGAAATTAGTGGGTGCTTAAATTAAATGCTGATTTCGAGAAGTGGGTACATTAATCAATACATATTAATATAAGAATGTATTTTCAATTGTATTAAGTTAGAACGGGCAAAATTCGTGTGCTACACAAGCAAAATAAATCATTTTATTTTTGTACTTATCCGGACTTCGTGTTATCCGAAAAAATGTTAATAAATGACAAAAAAACTTAATAATTTGACAGTTAAAATCTCTTTTTAAGTTAAATTTCATTCATTTATAAGTGGAAATTTTGTGGATATGAGAATTTAAATAATTTCCTCCAAAATCTCCAGATATACTGTATGGTCGATTGTTCCTTAAAAGCAAGAGAAATCTTATTTTAATTATCAAGACTGTCCTTGTGCTCGGAAGCATGCGTGCAGATGAAAAACTTACTTGCGATGGGTATAGCAGGATACCATTTCTCCTGGAACTTGGCAAATGTTCTTGTCCCAGGCATTGACCCTTCCCGATCAGCGGCAGTGCGGACAAACGACCAGTTGTTCTCCAAAGTCCAATAAACAAGCACTTCCACTTTTCAGCCATTTTGATTTTTCCCTCGTTTAAAACTGACCGCACATGTATTCGTGTTATCTATTGGTTGCTAAATATAAACTTTGGGTTAGGTGGCGCTAAAGATAACGTGATTTTCTAAACCGGAAGTATAGAAAGATAACATTTGAAGAAACTGTAAACATGCGATCTGGGTGGATTTCGAGGTTTTCAGAAGCTGCAGAAGGTAAATGTCATTATATTTAACAATATGTTTGTTCTAACACCACGGCAAGTGCTACAACCCGTTTGCTAGCTGTATATTTATTATTAGAATAACATCCGGAATAGTCCGGAAGTTCCGGATTTTAGACAGTCTCCAGGATCATTTTTGTGAATCGCGTAAATCCGTTTAGATTTCTGAGGGGTATAGGCTGCCTCTTATCTCGAGTGAGAACTGAAAGAACTCTATTGCCCATTTAATTTTATAAACAGGTGATGTTTTTGTCCGTTTCGTTAAATTCAAAAAGTTTTTTTTTGTGCATTAATGCCATTATGAGCGATTGTGTGCATCACGCACCTTGGTATGAAACAACGCTTCTGATTGGTCGGACAAGTTGTGATTGTCGAATCAGATTATAGTAAACGAGTGACCGGCTAGTTTGTACTTCCGTAAAAAACAAAAAAAAAAACAAAACAAAAAAGTAATTCTCATCATGAAGTTTCTGCCCGCGAGGCAAAATACCAAAGTCCTAGAGAAACAAAGCAAAGTTGCAAATAATTGGAGATGGCCGTCTTTGAATGAAATTAATTCCGAGGGGTATTTATGGGGATATTTGGCTACGGAAACATGGGAAACCGGCGGCACAAATCGACCCACACGAAGTACCCAGTCTATACCCAAATAAAGGCAAATATAGTAATATTCATCTTTGTTTGCCTAACATATATTTTTGTAATGAGAAAATAAATTATTTTTTATAAAATAACTTGAATAAGCCGGCTGTAACTTTCTTTCATTTACATTTTTAAGAAAATTAACTTGTGACATTTGATTTGCTGATCTAGATTCATTAATTAATACGGGGAAGTCAAAGACCGGGCCCGCGAAGCGGGTCCGGGCTTTGGCTTGTCCGGCTATAGACTACACGTGTATATTTAAATGAAAATCAAATAAAAATCAATTGAAAAATATACAAAATTCTATACCTATCAATGAAAATTTCAGTGTCAGTTCTAGTCAGGCGCCGCCATTTACAATGCAACTCAACCATAATAGGCGGGGTATTCCGATAACGGAATAAATCTCAACTTTTCGGATTAATGATAATCACCGAGTGTTCCGAGTGAAAACGAAAGCGATGCAATAAATACCAAATGACACCTGTAAAACGGAAAGAATGAAATAATTTTTGTAACGACTTCCCCTTTCATAGGCCTTGCCTAATTTCATATTATACTTGCAATTTAAGATTTTTGTTGTCTACATTTAAATTTTTAGGGTATAATTTTGTTGTTATTTCACACAGGTGTCCATCATATTTTTTTTTTAATATAATTTTATAAGGACAACTTTTTGCAGTAGCAAAAATTCTACAAGGTTGAGCACCAGTTACTTTGTGATATTTTGCATGTTTAGAGAGTTGCTTAAAAGCAGAGACGGTATTCCTTTAGCCTGTATATTTGCCAGAGGGACGAAATGTGTTGTTTTGGGTCTCCGTCCACTGTAGATTTTGGGATTTAATGGAATGAATTGCATTTTTTTTACTGCCTGCCTATTGCAGATGGGATAATTTCTTTGTAGATTTGCAATCTTATGTCATATATGTTCTCAACAAAATGTGTTTTCTTTTTCCAGGTTGTGTAGTTTGGTATCAGAATAAATAGACGTATTGCTTGTAGGACATTGACGGCTGAGGAACTTGAAATTAACTGTAGAGTGCTACCTTAAACATGTATGAGTGTGACAATTTCTATGACCATGAAAATACAAGGAAGAGTAATTCGGACATAAATTTGGATGTAAACAATAAACTACAAGTTAACAGATCTGTATATCAGAACTAAAAGTACTGAAATGATTGCTGATGCGAACCCTGTTGGTTAGATTTTCTATCAAGAGTCTGTCCAAATAATACTGGTCAACTTATGTCAGGTGATGAAAAACCCTCTGGCACTGAATATTCAAAAGGAAATTTTGCATCTAAAGAAGAACAATGCTATGTTCTTGCTAAGATTGGTTTGAACAATGTAAAAGATTATAGAACAACACACAGATTATTACGACAAAGGAAAATTTCTTTATTCCGATAAGTACAAACAAATGAAAAAAACTGTTACACTGTTTTGTGCCTGGATAGTGTGATATTAGCTTTATCATATTTCATAGAAAATATTGTGGATGAGAAGTTGTTTGCTGTTGGACATATATGTACAATAACAGAACTAGTACATCCTTTTTGTGATGTTGGATACCATCTGTTAAGAATGAAAACTGAAGAGGATGTTCATGTTGATAAGATAATTGAAGAAGTGTTTGTTATTCAAACTGAAAATACATTTTTTTAAGTTAGTTGTGTTCCAAATTTGTTCAAGTGACTGGCGTATCTTAGATTACATCATTTGAATCGCAGTTTGAGACAGTAAAATATAAGTCTAATATTACAAAATACAACTTTAAATTAATGTGACATTTAGTGTTAATTATTATAGGCACAATCCCTGTGGTAGAGTGATTTACGGGTCACTTCTTCAAATCTGTCTTTCATAATAGATACTAAAATGATATGTTAACTAAAAAGCATTGATTTTGGATACAAATAAATTCAGATTCTTGAATAGGTGTTCCAATTTCATGAAAATATTTTCTATTCCAAGATATTTTCCTTTGTTTTGATAAATTTTTTCAAGTTTAAGTAGTTTTTTCAGTAATTCTTGTCTGCCAAAAATGGTGGATGGCGAGTTTGAGCTCTGCTTTGCAACCATAACCTTCATATGGAAAAATTGGTTATTCTTAACTGAGTTTTTTTTTTACTTGGGCCAAACTGGAGTTCAGCGTCCTGTATGGAATATTTTATTTTGCCTGTTGTATATTTGTAACTGGTAGGAACATAATTATGTGATTTTTGTACCTAAACTTATAGCTTACCTAGTAATTTAGCCTTTATGGCTACAATACAGGGTAATATATCCCACTATCAATTTATGCACATAATCCCCGGCTTCTGACATTAAGATCCCACCTTAATTTACCATTTTAATTAATTTTGCTACATGTACTTCTTCCCAGTGCCCTTTGATGCTTTATATCAATGCTTATCTTGTATTCCGATAAATGCTGTAAAACTGTTGAAAATGGGGACAATATGTTTAACCTCCATTTATGGCCTAGCAGATGGATTCTAGGATAATAACCAAGGAGATGCTGAATCATGTTATATTCAAAATTCTGTCATGTTTAAACATGTTTGCTTTCCTATAAAAAAATTTGTAAACAAAACAACTGAAACTATTCTTATTATCAATGTTTTCACAGAAAGTAAAATCCTGTTGTAAGATGTAATTTAAAAAATGCTTATTTGTTAAAAAATATCGACTTTGAATTTATCATGTTCAGCCATGTTTGATCATGTATGACTATGTTATTCTCTTAATAATAAATGGGTCAATGTGTCAGTAATTATTAAAGCGTTTAAGGCTATTTATACACAAAGTTGAAATGTATGGATACTTTTTTATCCAAAAGAATAACTTATTTGATGAAAGTAACAAGAAAAAAGAGAGATTTGTTTGATTTTTTTTTTTTATAAATTTATCATGTTTATTCATGATTGAATATGTTGATTTCTTGTAAGATTGTTTGCAGAAAAAAAAACAATCTTTATGATTTTTACCTCTCCCTGAAAGTCATTATAATATTAGTTGAAATAAATACAGATGTTTTATTGAACAAATTGTAATTTTCATCCACAATCATGTTTGATGGTCAAACATGTTTATAAGACATGATTGACCAACATGGTTAATGAGGAAAAAAACATGTTTGTACACATCTTATCATGTTTAATCATATAACATGATTTCTTTTTCGCTAGGGTTATAAGGCAAACTCCTGTGTACATTATTTGTATCTCTCATGTTAATGGTTAACATTTATCTCCATCTCCCTCAACATACTTGACTGGGGTTCCCTCTTCAAGTAATTCCTTAATTCCCTTTCACCACTCCCACTTTCCATAAGCTTTGCGCTCCACTGGTGGTTTCTTACACACTGATGTGATTGGACCTGCTGACCTTTCCTGTTACGACGCCACCAATTGCAGGTACCACAAACACGGTGAGTTACGACTGATTTCAAAACCTTCTTCCCATATTTTGACTTGGACATAAAGAAGGTGTGAGCTGAAAAATATCCAATATATTGGCGTAAGCACTGGCAAGAAAATACTAATATAAGTTATCTTCGATGAAATTAAAAAAAAATCTTTAAAAAAATCCAAAAACACACACACACACATCAGAATCATCTTTAGCAGCTGTTGCAATAATTATATGTCCTTTTGAAATGCCATCTTTTCATGTGGTCAACATCTTTCGAAACATTAACTATATGCAGGACCTCCCTGTGAATAATATGTTGTTTATTATTCACTTCTTGAAAAGCTTAATTTTTATAAAACATCTGATTTTAACTTATAATTAACATCATTTTCTATAATTTTTTGTTCAATTCTTTTAAATTATTTTAAAAAGGCAAAAAGATTTTTTGCTTTTTTTATATTTGGAAGAAATAAGCTTGTAAAGTCTGAAATCAAGTTGAAACACTTGATGCCTTTAAAATGGTTGGCAGCCACTGACATGTAATTAGATGAAAAAAGAAATGCTCATACTTTGTGTAGGGTGATGCATCTGGCATTGCAGAAATTCCAAGATGTTCAATAATAGGATCACCCATAGACTGCTTGGCAAGATCACTCTCGACTTGTGAAACATCCCTGATCTTACATAATGTGAATAAAAGTTTGAAAAAAAAAAAACATATAACAGTTTTTGGTATTTTATAATAAAAATACTAAAAAAAAGCAATAAATACTTATTTTTAACATAAATAAATATCATTATTATGTAAAACAAACATATACAACAAGATCTTATTATGCACTTTATATTGACCTTTTACAGACTGGTGTATTATATTTACTTGTGCCAATTAAAATTTAAATAAAGAGGGGAAACATACAAAAAGTAGACAGGCTTAAAATGATGTGCATGTATATATTTTCCTGACACCATATCTCAATGTAGGAAATAATTATTTACTTTAATTTGTAATATAAATGAAATATAAGTATGATTATTCAAGCTATATTTGATGCAGGGGTGTGGAATTACTATGTCCGACTTGCCCGACTCGGGATTTTTTGCCGGCGGACAAGTAGATTTTAACTTGGCACTTGTCCGCAGACAAGTATAATTCTGAGCCTGAAAAAAAAATTGTATTTGATTGCCAATGTTTAATCCGTGTTTGAAATGCATGAATTTTATTTGTACACCATCTCCAACAGCACAAATCATTGGATACTATATACAATGCTATTTCACTTTGTACAAGGCCTCTTGCTTCTATTACAAAACAAGCTTGGCGATTGGTCGTATCGAGGCAACTGAATGTTTTGATTAAAAATAAACAATCTTGTGCTAGGTTTGAAAATAATCTGAAAAAACATAAATCAAATGTGTAGAGAGGCCTGGTTAACTGATTTTTACTTTTACTTTGTGGATATGACTACGGTCCTTTATGTAGAGAAATCATTAATAGGAAGGATACTTACATGGCATCAAATGTTGCCCAAACGTGCCAATTGCATATTCAAAAACAAGTTTTAGCAAAACCCCAGTTTTAAACAAGGACCTATTGGTAAAATAAAGTCCAATAAAAAA